GCTAAATTAGAGACGGCTAGCATAGATAGCCCTCGAGTAGCTTTGCGCGAAATTGAAAACAAATCAAACGAAAACCATATATATATATAATGTTTTTATTTCAATAGTGTACTTTTTACCTCAATGCGGGGTGCACCTATCTATGTGTCATACAGTAAACTGTTTGGAATGACTGACATCAGTGCTTGTTGTCAACTCTCCTACATTTATTGTAATGGAAGTTGCATTGTTTTGTCAACCAATTTATATACAGATGCAGGCAATCAGCAACTCGGTAGGTCACAGTTTAAACAGGGACTCTGACCCTCATGCTTTAGTCATAATTTTGAAAGTCCCTTCTGCTGTGTAGATCAAGATTTGGCTGTCATTTATGACCCTTGAGATCGTTCAGCAAAGAAATCAAACATAGCAGCTACTGCTGGAAACTTATTATTTAGCATCAGCATCTGGTTTGATATTACCATTTCGAATCTTGTCACCAAAGAAATAGCTTGACTGGAGATAAAATGTTGTCTTATTCTTCAAGGATTTTCACAGCAGTTCTTCTGTGTGCTTATTCACAACCTGGGAATGATAAGCTTAAGAAGGTATTCTCGTACAATCGTACAATTCAAGAATGTGGCTAAGTTCTCACTATTGGTGACAACTACACACTCTCTCAAGGTTGTATGATTCCATCCTTTAACATCCACTGTATTTTGGTGCTGACTATATACATAATACTCCAGCAGAGCCTGTATGTTAGTTGTTGACAGGTATGTGCATCACCCCTATCTATGTGGTGAAATATGATTGTTGTTTTACTCAGTTGGCCATCTAGTTCCATAAATACAGTGGCATATTTAATCAACAGACCATTTAGGCTTTGCAACTGGCCAGACCCTATAAAGACTGCCCAACTTGATCTTTCACACTCTAGGCCATGCAATATCTCAACAATCCTCAATCACCTGAGCTCCCCTCGTGTTGAGGCTTAACCTTAGGATAAGAACTTTGTCGGCCATTCTGGGTGCTCCAAAAACTGGCAGTTCTTTTTTTTTTAGACTAGCAGTTGTAAGGAGATGACCATCAATGGCATACGTAGCATATACAAAACTTTTGTATCCAAGAAAAGATTTCTCCCAAACCTGACCACTCCTCCACTGCACCACACCTCCTCAGTGCCAGATTCTTCCTGTAGGTAATGTTTCCCCTGACTGGTGGAAATTCCATTTTCGTGGGTTCAGAGTCTCAACGCTCATACTAGATAATGGAAGAGCAGACACTTGTTCAGAGAGTTCAAACTTCCACAGTAATTGTACGTGTATTCATGGCAGCAAATTCTCCTCCCTATATACTATATTATATTCTTAATTACACTGATTTTACTCAGAGTAAATGGGTATGGTTTGCAAAAATAGGAGATTCAACAAATACTATTCTACAGAATATGGGTTTGTCTTTCCCTGGCTCTAACTGAGTTTGATGCAAAGAAAGAGATGATGCACGAAAATGTAAAAGTCGCTATATTTAATATCACTCACTTCAAAGTACAATAATACATATGTAAAGTGCTTCTAGAGTGCTTATGGAACTTTAATAATTATTCCTCTTTCACCAGCTCAGTGCTAGCCCCCTTGAATTAAAGCTAACTATCAAAACTAAAACTCTCAAAGTTAAGTTTGAGGCAAAATAATTTCTAGAAATCTTTATTTTGAAAGTTATCACAATTATCTCCAAATCACAGTCTCTTTTATTGAGATTACATGCAAAAAACAAAACTATACAAACAAGGGGAGGTGGCCCATAGTTCAATCTCATTCACGTGACAAATGATCACTCTCTCTTTCAGTACAGGAAAGCCCTGGGTCACTACCTAAGTCGCCGACAGAAATGGTAGCTGTGTATTTTGGGACATCACAACTGCAGCGACCGCCATATTTCCTGCAAGAAAATATTCTTAAAAATGAATAATAGTGATTATGGCCCTGTGCGTAATTGGAGTTAGAAAAATGTTGTAGCTAATGTTTTTTTAGTGCAAAGCTACACAATAAGCTATCTACACTTTGTCCACCATAGGGAATCGAACCCTAGATTTTATCATTATAAGCCTATAAATTTATCTCTGATTTACTGGGAGATGTAAAGAGAAGGCAAGATGTTTATTTGATCGACTCCCCATATTGAAATTGTGGTGCACGACGATACTACGTGTTTGCTACCACTTAGAAATTTCGAAACGTTTTACACATAAACTAAGTGAGTAGCAAACAGGTGGTACCGACCTGCACCAAAACGTTTTTTATTTTCACATCACGAAGACAGAATGGATTGTCTAAAGCACACTTTTAAGACAAGCCATAAACCTAATACAGTATCCCACAATCCTGGTTTAACCCTTCAGTAATCACTCTCATTTCACATACTCAAATCTCTCTACCCTTCCTCCACATGGGTATAGCCCATATTTCATGGGAGTGATTACATAGAACAATAGCTATAAGTTTAAGTCCTATGATATAGCCCCTGTTGTATTCACCTTAGTCCGAGAAAAATTAATTCGGATTTAAGATTGCTTACGTTTTGTTTATAAGGACATTAAATAAATGCAAAATGCTAAGAGCCTGCACGAAAAAGTTTGAAAACACGTTCCTCAATATTGTTACGTCTCCGTGTGTTAATTAATTTCCCTTACTTCGTTCCGACGAAACTT